ATTTCAAGCTTTCGTGACTGCAGGAATTAATACTCTTCAGTTACCGATGTTAACTGAATCTCTGAGTTTCATTACTAGGTTGGATGTCTTTGTATTGACAGGCTGGATGTCCACTGCCCCAGCCTCTGTGGTTGGACCATCTCTAGCTCCCCTCACCTACCTTGATGCACCCTTCTCAGGACAAGCTAATCTCTCACAATACAAAGGCCACTGCCCCAGCCTTCGTTGGTTGGACCATCTCTAGCTCCACCCACCTACCTTAATGCACCCATCTCAGGCCTATATAAGACTTTGTCTCAGCAGCTTTCTCTCTCACCTGAAGACGATTGCTTGTGTTGCGATCGAAACATCGTGATCTATTATTTTTTATATTTTATTTACGTGACTTGACCGAAAGACCCAAGAGTATTGACTTATTGTGGAATGAGACCTATTGTTTCTAAGAAAACATGAAATGAGATTTATAAATGGCAAATTAAAACATTCGATATACATTGCATATCTTTTGGGTTATTTATGATGGACTAGCGGCAAATCAACAGAGAATAAAAACACATAAATGAGCACCATTATTGGTTGCATAAAAGAGGCTTTTTGAAATAGACACTGAAAGTAACTCTATGGTATCATCTTCACCACATGCTTTGATTCCAGTTTCACAATTGGGATATAATATGGTTTCCATTTTAATATCCATTTATGTTACACTAGCACTTCGTAGGATTTAAAAGACCACTGCAGTTAATATGTGAAGGAAAAGAGTTTTACTTTTCTTTTTTATAAAGTAGTGACAATTAGGAATGTAAACATAGACAGAATTTCGTCATGCTTAAACGCTTGAAGTGGAACACTTCCCAAAAGACATTGCAGACGTTGGCAGGTGTGGTCTTGCTATGGCACAATAATATAATTTTAGCATTACACTCGAAAGCAGAAAAAAGCATGTATTATCAATAATAATGAGTACATTTGATACTTTCACTATTCCTTTTCAGACAAGACTATTGCAAAGGTGCTATCATTCACAGCCAGGTATAGTCTGCTAGTCGGGAGTGATGTTGCCATGTGCTTTCACCGTAATAGGTAATTTGTCATTTGGACCAGGAAAATTACAATATTAAACATGAACAAGTAAATAAATCAACATCATATTTTTTTCCCCAATTGAAATCTATTTTCAGATTGCATGTTTGGTTTCACAATAAAAGTAATTATACAGCTTAAAATCAACCCTTGCAATCAATTAGAATCGATGTGACACCATGTCACAATGGGGACGTCATGAGGGATGAGCAACCTGTGTATAGCAGGACACAGGGTCAGAAGGGATCTCATCCATGGAGAAATCAAATAATTTAAAAGATCAAATGAGGATGAAGAATTGCAATGTCAGTTAAACTCCGGCAACAACAACCAGATGTCACAAAAATCAAGTGATTGTGCTCAAGCTGAAGAGATATTTGTTTTAATGAATCAGGTGGCTTTTTTTATCATAACAGGACCAATACCGCTAAAACAACAGTAAGGCAAGCTACCTATTGACAATGACTGGAGGGAAGGACTATTGGTTGCAGTGTAACATATATTCTAAACAATGCATCCCCGATTAGCACGATTGGCTACGTATGGTGCAAAAGCAGTTCAACATACATATATACAATAGTTTAACATTTTTGAGATACGAGCGTGTTGTACTACATTTTCATGCACCTGTACAGTTAATGATAACGGTGGCAATATTTTTCAGACCTATGATTATCCGAATCGTATTTATGCTAAATAATGACTGGTCACGTCAGTATACAATTGCTAAATATGAGGTGATAACAACGTTTTATTTGATTGTTTTAATCCCATGACCTCGAGACTGACTGAACTATTAAAGCATGGGACATGGTGTTTTTCACACAGTGACAGGAGTATAATTGTGATCAAAAGGATTTACGAAATATTTTTATTGACTCACAAAATATGCCATACTACACGACATGTGCATTTTCAATCACGTACAATTTAAATTACTCTTCATTTTCATTAGCTTCAATTCATAAAATGACAACCACAGCAATCGTATAAAATATATTTCACATGGCACTTTTTTAATATTACCACCTGCGTCTAAAAGTCTTAGAAATTCATATCAAAGTCGACAAAACATGCACACTACTGCACTATCCATGATGTAGTGGCTATAGGGGGTATTTATATATTCCCAGCAGCGTGGATTGTGTTTTAAAATATATTGGATTTGTGATCCAAGATAAAGGTCAGTTGCTAGTGCCTGCAGGAAGAGATCACAGCTCTCTATATTACATGCATGCATTGTGTAGACCAGAACTAACCTGCCTTTGCAGCCGATTTTACTGTCCATTTTTCCCCCCACGATTTTAATTCAGCATGTGCGACTTTCCCGGCCCAATGAAATGTTCTGGTTAATGTATATTTACATTGCATGTGTGCTGTCCAAATGGTGTGCAGCATTTTACAGCACTAGGCATCCCTAATCCATAGACCTACATTTCTCAAAACAAACAAGTGAGACACGTGCATTAAATGGCAGTCTCCACATGCTTCTTATTAAAACAGGTTATATCGTGAACTTCGGAACGAAATGAAAACTATACATCAAATCTGCCTTGAACATTGAAAGGTACTGTAATATGATTAAAAAGAAGTTGAAGAACACACAAACTGTAGGGCAGATCGGACAATACATTGAAACCAAATGAATGAAAAACATTCAAACTTTATGTGGGGGGGGGGGGGGGTGTGGGCACATACAGCTGCATTGCACTTGCATCGTCAAAATTATGAGGGCACTTGGCTCCAAATGCCTACATTAGATCCAGATGTACTACTACACGTGATCACCACAACCAATCACTTCTATTGCTGTGTTTGTTTCTGTACTTTTATTTGTTTTGCTTTTGTCATTTTGGTGACGCAGGTTACTCTTGCAAACACTCAATGTGAAATAACCTTGAAACTATAATTTGGCCGTGCTGTCAAGCTTCTGAGCGAGTGTCCAGTTTTAGTAAGTCAAAAGGCACTGCAGGAATGCACTTTGACTTACTTAAACGTAATAGTAATGCACTTTAATATGTGTTGAATTAAAGACGCAGATGAGAACATGCTGGAGCGCTGTTGAAAGACTCAACTGCCTACAATGACACTGTGAATCACATATGTAAATCACATGTCAATCACACACGTGAATCACATTTGAAAATCACAATATGTAAATCACATATGCAGCAGAAACGTGGACATTGGCAAATCAATTCAATAAGAATCAGAAACGTGCACAAAGCATGCTTTTTTAACAGTCATATTGACAATCACATTGACTGTGAAGAAAAGTAAGTAGGCTTACGCGGGGCATGTTGCAAGAAGGGATGATTGCTGGTTGCCAAGACTAATTACGGTGTGGCAGCCAAAGAGGAGAACACATCAAACAAGATTCATCTGCTTGGTTCTTTCGGTAAAGTCACGTAGAAGGGAAGTAATAAAATCATAAAAATAAAACATAATAAAATAAAATAATTATTTTATTTTGTCAAGCTTCTGAGCGAATTATTTTATTTTATTATGTTTTATTTTTATTATTTTATTACTTCCCTTCTACGTGACTTTACCGAAAGAACCAAGAAGATGAATCCCTGCAGTCACGAAAGCTTTAAATCGAAATCAAACAAGATGTCTACCGCAGAGACGGAGCGACGACATCAGTGCAGGTGCTAGGTGGATTGTTCCATTGCAAGGCTGAGGGAGATATCGAGAGCTTTGGGAGGCTTTCATTCATCATCCCATTTTACAAGACATTGCCTGGGAGATCTTTCAGTGGGTACATACTGTACATGGGAAGACCATGCCCCACCAGTTAGACAGACTGCAACCGCGTTCATTATGTCTGGATTATAGATTAGACCCGTCTGTTGACTGCACTCCTGATGTTACATGGGCTTGTCTTTCTAACAGAATGGCCTCCAAAACAAATAAATATCACTGTAGGTATACCTGCCACCATGCCGTTATGTGGTTTCAAGTGCAGCACTATCTGAATGCACGCAATACATCCATAGTGCACATTGAGACAAAACTACACATGTACATTGTTGCAAAACTGTTTTAGTGCCATTATTAGTCATATTTATAGTTTGTATTGATATGTATGAATACATTTACGTACTGTATCTACTGTGCGAGTACTGCTAGGGCATACATGTGTAAATGCAGTGTATGGGCAGTACTTTAATTATGAAAATATGATTTCACCCGTGACTGAGCAAAAGGCGGCATGGTCTTCCTCTGTCATTTAATCCAAATACACCAGAAAATATATTGATGCCCTGGGCACATAGAGCTATTAGGGCACGGGAAGTGGGTGACTGTTCTTACTTAAATTAAAATATGTTCTTCCTTCAAAATACAACTTAAACGTTTTAAAGATATGTGTATACACACAGCAGTATATACGTGTTCAGTTTGTTGGGTCCACTCGTTATTCACATGCTACGTGAATACACAGTATGATTTATTTGATTCTGATTGATGTTTTTTCAACTTATTTATTATATTACACACTGTCATATATGGTGTCACTCACAGCCATTATCTACAAGCTGTCACTCCCTCCTGAGGGGCTAGTAGTCGTGCATGTACTCCATATTCAAAGAAATGAAATGAAATAGGTTTGGCTAAATTCCACATGCGTTTGAACCACATCTCATTTATGCAGACATAAATATATACAGTACAGTAGTTTTACATTCTGTAATTGTAATACCATCCGATTCGCATGGTTGGCTACGTACGGTGCGATAGAAGTTCAACATACATACATAGAAAACCAACTGCAACTGTCAGAATAATCTGAGAATGAATTACGTAAATGAGGCAATTATACCATGAACGTACACAGGACCCATGCTCCTTTATGCCTGTGCCTGCCTAATTTAGAGCCAGTTTGACAAATAGTTTCTGTTGGAGTCTGTACTTACGGGCATGTGCCAGGCTGAGGGCCCAGAGACGCAAGTAAGAAGCTGTGTTGGAGATGCAGCCCAGGCAGTACTCGATGGTGTGGATTGCCTGGTGCACAAACTCATCGCCAAAGTTGAACTCCTGCAAATGGTGCAAGGAAAACAGACAGAGCAAGAACAAAAAAAGAAACAAATGAAACAATGATTATGAGAGACCAGAGAAATTGCCAACACAATGGCAGAGAACACGGATGTACTGCAACGTAGGAAATAAGTACTGTGCTGAAAACTTATAAAGGTCCAAGTTCAAGACTTTCCTGGGCTGGAACTCCTTTACAGTAGCATTTCAAACATATCCAAATAGGGAATATTTATTTTAAAAAAGCAAATAACTTGTACTATTAAAATTGTATCATCTACATAATGTAAGTAACAACCTTACATTGCCATGATTTTCATTGGTGGTCAAATTAAATTATACACAGTTATTTTTGAGAAGCTATAAAGTGATTGGTCAATTTTTCTGATGGTATATGTCGTGACATGTAATGGGTTACTCGGACAGAGAAGGGGATGTGCTGTTGTAGCAGCCCTGTCTGCCAGCAGGTCATGTGATAGGCCGGAGAGAGGGAAGTTTGGTAAAGGTGACAGAGGGGGCACGTGAGGAAGAGCCCGGGAACCTTCTAGTAGGTTCTAGAAGGGGGGGGGGGGGCGTGGCATGAGGGTGGAGCGAGGCCACGCTGGGTGGATAAAAGGGGGGCCCCCAGCAAAGGTCGGGCTGTTGTTTGGAGTGGAACCCATCGTGCTACAGGAGTCTTCGTCACCGTCTTTACCTCCTCGGCATTGTTGGTCAGGCAGCTTGTTAACTATCCTGACTCTCTGTACCTGTGAAGGCTATAATAAATAGAGTGCCTCCTACTATTAGTGTCTCTCAGTGACTCACTACATATGTATTCCTGCAAAGGCACTGGAGGTGTAATGATGCATTCTCTTTGGTTCTTTCGGTAAAGTCACGTAGGTATAACATAAAATAAATTAAATAACGACATTTCGGGCGCACACACAAGCGTCCGTCATCAGGTGGGACAACCACAGCAAGAAACAATTGCTGAAGTGGGCAAAAGGGCTGCTGTGACAAGAGGCTATATAGGTAAGAGGGGGGAGGAGCCAGGGAGGTGAGATAGAGAGGAGGGTGTGGGGTAGGGGGAGTGGAGTGCTGCTAGAGAAATTAATAATGACCCTGAATTGCAAAAAAAAAAAATCGTGAGGAGACTTCATTGTTCATAACGTTTTACTGTCAATATGGCAGATATTCCACAAACAAGACTTCATGATATAAATGTAAAAAATATTTTTTTGCTATAATTTACATCATAATAAAAACAGGAGATAACAGTGGGAGCGCAATATATGTTCAGAGCTTTTGTAAGCTGGTATGAAATCCTCTGTTTCATTATTATTTAGGTTTTGGAGGGTGTTTGTTGATGAGGCTAATCCCTAACGACAGTGACTGATGATAAATAAAGATTAATTACAGCCATTAACGAAGATCAATCACAACATACAAAATAGGATATAGTACATTAAAAAGGCAGAAGGGGGGAGCCTCAAATCGTGAAATGGAGGAGATGTAACTAATGCTTTGTAGATATGCATTTTATGTAGGACTGTTAAATCATGCATTGATTAAAACTCCCTTGGTTTTTTTAACGTGGTAAGAAAAGAGCTAAATTCGGAATGCATAAAAAATAAAACCATACATTTTGACACAGGAATGATATTCAAAGTTAATAAGTAGAATTCGTCCCGAGGCAAAGTATGATTTCCTGAGGTCAAGCAAAGGCTAAAACGATCAAATCCCTGGCTAAAACTGACAGCAGAGGGATCACACCTAAACTTTGTATCCCTTAAAGATGTAACAGTATGAGGTTGGATTTCCATAAATTTGAATATCCGTTTAGTTTCCATGAATAAATGTACGATTTTAATTGCTCTGCAAATTTTTATATTTCTCCAATTGTCAGTGTGTATTTGCCGAAACCATTTGCAGTACTTTCCGTTATTGGGTTCCAATGCAAAGAAGCTAATTTACCGTTTGAAACATGGGTCTAAATTGTATTGCAAATTTTAAATAAATTTGTGTCCAAGTACACGAATTGATGTGGATGCGCTTCCTTCTTTGGGCCACAGGAAAGAAAAGTCTAACACCAAACGGTGATTCACAGGAGAGTGCGAGAAACAGAACAAATTCTGGTTCACAAGTTCAAGTGGAGGCAAATGGCACCACTGGGATAAGATTACTCTGCTATCTGCACAGTCACGTACACCCTCTCACCCCGATTAAAATTCAAATAGGCACAGCCGTATTTTTGCCACATGATTTTAACGAAAACCTTCATTACAAATTCAACATTTATTTCCTGTGCTTATAAACGTTGTTACATTTTCCTCTTTGTTTACAGCGATCCTTGTGGAAAAGTGTCGTTTGATGCACATTATCTGGTATTTATGAATTGTGCTTGCTTCGGTATTAATCCCTGCTGTAACAATGTCGGTGAATAAAGGTCTGTAACAGATTGCATAGGTGCTCGCTAACAGTACTTACGGTCTGTTAAGGAGATATTGGGGATCTTTGTCTTTGTAACAAATTGCAACAATAAATGCAACACCAATCCAACATTTCTGCATATAAACCGTGCAGATAATGGATATTAGCAATTAAGTATCGAGCTGCTGATTGTATGAGAGCACATCTGATGACTATGGTTACTGCTATATGGCAAAACTATGATGTATCACGCAGTAAAATGTCCAAGACATTCATATTGCGCATTTTGAAAAAGATAATTTTCAACAAATCAAATCGTTTCTATAAAGATTTTTAGCAAAATCCCAATGTGATACATTTTAACACAAATTCTAGATAGTCACAATTTGAAGGCACAAGTTATCTGATGTTTCTGGAATATTTTAACTTACAGTGAAATGGTAATTGATGAAGTGCAATATGCCTATAAAATGTATTGGAACATGCAGGCTCAAACCCTCATCGATAATACATTCTAGTACAGCAGGTACATGGCAATACTGGTATATAGACCATAATGCAATGCCTTGGTCCTGCTCTCACTGGATTTGAAACTCATTATTTGTTACTAAAGAGCTTCATGTAACAAGATTTTGCAAAAGACAGATGACACTATTTAAGGCATGGGATGGGATAATCTTTGCTCTCGTGCGGCATATCAAACGCGACAATCAAGCATGATCCCATTATCTCTTTCCACATGCACACCGCTGAATGTTTACCGAATACAGGAGCGAAGCGTGTATCCACCATCGATTTGAACCATGGACTCTGATTCAACTTGAAGTGAGTGCACGAGTCATTGTGTACCATTCAAACTCACCTCCTTGTGGAGGTCTGGTGGCGCCACGTTCAGCTGATCCAGTTGTACGATGCCGGCTTCCTCACTGCCATTGCCCATCAGCAGCCTCTGCTCGACAAAAAATTGAGACAGTGTGCAGTGCGTGGACATGAGACCCCATGAATGGAATGGGCTTTGTGCTGCACCGCAGAGCTCATGAGGATTGTTCAGAGATTTTATCGAATAGCCTCGCCGAAATTTACTGAATTCAAATTGGTTCTGTCGACAGTAATATCACAGTACAAAGGGTTGCATGCAGTGAAGGTGCCAATTGTTTGTAGTGTCGGCATATTAATATCCACTGGAGGAAAAAAAACCATACACAGTATTAATGTGTTACTATCTACGTGACTTTACCGAAAGACCCAAAGAGTTTGTTAACAACTTAGTTGGGCTTTATACCCTTGCTGATGTCAATACACCAAACAGACACCAATTACAAGGTATCGTGTCTGCGCAACCACTCATACTTGTGGTAAAAACCAAAGGCCACCAAAAGGCGAATAGTACACGAACAATGCAAACACGAAAGTATGAATAGCTCGCATTCAGTAGTTTCACTATGAGAACCTTTTTCTAGTATCAATATATAGCGAAAGGGTCCCATAGTTGTGAAATAAGTTATACATGTTATGTATTAATGCACGTAGTGCACTGCACAGGTGCACATTAAAGGACCTATCATATGCCGCTGAAATAATCTATTTGGCAAGCTTTCATTTGAACATGAAGTACTGTAGTATGGAAGTATAGATTTCATGGGAAGTGGTGCCAAGCAGTTATAAGAGAATAACGTTATATTAATTAACTATATAAGTCGTTTGTCCAAACAATTGTATTTTGATGAGGGAAGAGGACAGGGTTATAGTGCAAAATAAGAATTATTAATTACTTAAAGCCCCTTGTAAAGCACTGCTGGATGAAGGCTTCGGGACCATGCCCTGTTATTCATACGCTTGCTGAGCCATAATCTGCCAAGCTGATTATTGTGAGCTTGGTGAATGAGGGGGAGGGGGGGGCAACAACATTGATTTATCACTCGCTATCGATGTTAGGCGTGGCTGGGAATTGAACACAGATTGACAGGTTTTTTCGGTAAAGTCACGTAGGTAAAACATCAAAATTAATAAAAATAAAATAAAATAAAGATCACGACGTTTCGGAGGCAACACAAGTCTCCGTCATCCGGAGACTTGTGTTCGGAGGCAACACAAGTCTCCGGATGACGGAGACTTGTGTTGCCTCTGAAACGTCGTGATCTTTATTTTATTTTATTTTTTATTAATTTTGATGTTTTACCTACGTGACTTTACCGAAAAAACCTAAGAATATGAATCCTTGCAGTCACGAAAGCTTCAAATCTAGAACAGATTGACAGGTTCATTGCGCAATGCGCTTGCCGCTGTACCACCATTCCACTCCGGTGCAGTATCATAAGGAGGTCTTTTTTATACACTGTGTTGGAACATTGGTGAGGCAGATTGGGACGTGATGGGCTTGTTCCATGGGAGAGAAAAGGGTAGCAAATATTTCCCTTTCACGCAGCCCTTGGCGATGATAAATAATACACGGCCCTGATTTCATACGCTCTGAACTTCAGACCATTGCTCAGAACACAACATTACTGCTATACGTTATTCTGCCTTATTAGTGCACGGGTCTTGTTCTTTGTGAATTATAACATGATGTCCTAGTTTATTACTTGAGTTTGGTAAAACATAATATCCTTTTGACCTTTATGACTTGCAATGAATACGTGTGCAGAATGAATATGGCCTATCCTGGAATATACCACTGAGAAACATCAATATTGTTAAAATTGTATACAAATTTATACGAATTATTCCTTGAAGCTAACGGTATTCATACATTGTACAAAAATACATGCAGTACAAAATCGATTTTATTATAGAGCAGCCTCTTTTCTATTATAAAGTCAGTTAAGGGCATGGCTACTTTATTAGCACTGACATCACACAATAAGAGTGTAGATTTTCTGGGATGCACTGTGCAAGGTCCATTTGGTTACATTGGTGGATCTCACGCGCTAACACTTTCAACATTTCATCTCCACAAAACACAAAGTACCCCTTCTTTTTGAATTTTGTGTGGTACACAGGTTGACAACCCCTCTTTAAGTTGCTGTAAATAAATATCCAAGAGCTTATTCTTTGGGTCTTTCGGTATAGTCACGTAGATAGTAGGTTGAAAGAAGATGACTTTACCGACTTTACCGAAAGACCCAAAGAATATGAATTCCTGCAGTCACGAAAGCTTTAAGTCAAGATTTATCTGCTCTTGCAACTATCTTTAAAAAATATGTATTTCTTTTACCAGCATGTCTAAAAAGTAAACACATAATGGCATTTTTTCATATGCATTAGGGGAAATATGGGTCGATACATTGACTTCAGCAATAACATGACCAAGAAGTAAATTCAACTTTGTGATTTTCAAACCTGTAAAATAAACAGCCTTACCCTAAAACAGAAACTACACTTTGTTTTTGGTAAATGTTGCTTTATAGTACAATATCGACACCTAAGGATGATGGGATTTTAATCGTATTTCACCTAACTTAATTAAAAATCTATTGTCAGAATAATTAACTTTTCATTACACATCAACATGTGAATATTTAATGATGGGAATTGTGTTTAAATTATCCCTGTGCCAGCATTAAAGTGTACACATATAAATTTAAATGCATCTGTTAATGGCATAATCATATTTTGTCAGATAAATTAATTTTGCTCAGTAGAGCGGTTTACAATTTTCCAAACTGTTATTAATGTGTGGCTGACGTGGTCAGCATGTCATTAGCATCATGGACAGAATTTCATGCAGTAGTCACTGTAGATTCTGTCTTACTGAATCATTTATTTCTGTTTATCCGCAGAGTTGGCTACATTTTTTACATAGAATACATTGCCCTGGACGTTAGTTGTGTTTATGTCTTCAGTAAGTAGTCTAGTTTCTGTAGAATACATAAATAAACAGTCACGAATAAAACAAGCTATCAAAGTAGGTTCAAATTAAATCAGCACATTAATGACATGAAGTAAGGTTTAACTAACCCTTCAGTTGGTTTTACTCAAGAGCACAAGTATGTATGCAGAACTTCTTTATATATGTACAGTACTCTCGCAGAATATAAAGTATGTTTATCTCTCTCCCAAAACAATTTACCTTCTGCAGCACAGTGCCATGCCATGCATTTGTTTGTGCTCCGGTCAACAGGGAATGCCCTCTATCAAAAGCTAACACATGGATTGTTCAATTTATTTATGATGGTATGGCTTATTTTAAAAAGGGATCGTGGAGCAGTTATTACAGGTTATTTCAGAGCAACGCAGAGATGTAATGTTTGAGGTATATTACACAAGTACTGTATTTCAGTTCCTCCATTTCATTTCTGCTGCGGGGAATTCATATATTTTATATAAACTTTATTTTTGTTACATTAAGAGGAACATAACATCGATGAATTTCTAGCTCATGAACTGTGTTCAGAGGCTGAGAGTTATCTTTGAGAAAAACAACCGAGGGTTAGGGAGTTTGGGTCCTAAATGCACAGGAGAGAAGCTTTAGGTTGTGTGTGGGCTGTTCTTTAAGAATTTTCATTTTTAAAATAGTAGTTAGCACAATGATATGTTATTAGCCGTGTTCTTCACTAATTTTCTTATGGGAAGGGGGGTGGCACTTTTGCCGTGTGAGGGCCGCCACACATTTGACACCATTTGGGGTTGACAGCACGATGATGATGAGGTGTTTTCACGTGTTGCGTATTGTCGGGGACCGCACATCAGGAGCCGCACTAAAGGCCACCAGGGGCCGCCATTGGCCCGTAGGCCTTGCAATTAAGAACACTGGGATAGAGCGAGAGAGGCTGTCAAGTCATAGGCAGTGGAAAAAACAGGAATGTCTTGAGATTGGACGTGAACAGGGCGTTCCAGACTATGGGCAGCAGAGGAGAATGAGCAATTGAGTTCTTTGCCAGAAAGCCTTGGTTGTTGGAGCAGAGAGTGTGTTCAGCAGAGTCGAGTGAGATGAGAGAGAAAAGGTAGGGAGCGTGAGTCCAGGAAGGATTTGAAGCAACGTCCATGGACCCAGAGGTTTTGGCCATGAAACAAGAACGGCTTCCCTCCTCCACGCATGCCGCAATCCACATTGTATGACGTCATTGGACGAAGTGAACAGCAGAGCTTCGTTACGTAGTTGTTTTTTGTATGGTTTCAATGAGGGTTATACAATGATGTCCACAAAAATTGCATCAACAACTCCGTGGGATGTTTTCCATAAACAGACTTCCATAATGTCACGTCCACAAACATTTAGGGAAATTACCTGTGGAGAATTTATACATTTCTCATGTAGCAAAGGTTGCACACCCCTTGATATAGACATTCATTTACTTTAATTTATGTATCAGCTGAACTATGTTACTGAATGTTGAACTTCTTTCACACCGTATGTAGCCAAATGTGCTAATCTGAGGTGTGGGGAACCCTAATGAACCTTAATAGCCTCCACTAAATAAGTAAAATACATGCATTTGCACATATTACAATTGTAGCAATGAAATCTAAATAAATTTGTATGTTATTTTGATATTTTGCCAATTATTGGTGAGGATATATAGAGTTTGGTGAGGATATATAGAGTGCATAGTGGATGACATGATTCTTCTGAATACTATAAATAAAGAACACAAAGTAGTCGGTGCTTTGTCATCATCCATGGTTATAGACAGTTAAGGACATTGTGCGAATGCTGAAACTTGACCCTGGTCACAGTCACACGTGCATCAAGGTGAAGGATGGGTACTGTTAGTACTATCCCAACCTTGATAAAGGTCACGAGAGGCCACATATTTTCCCACAACATCTCACCATATGCCATGGTAGACACTTTGAAGTATGTCTCTTTCATAACCCCATTGTTATCATTAAAAGTGTACTTTAGAAACTTGCAGATAGATGCAAAAGCTAATTAACAATTTTTGATTGTAATCATTCTTTACGAGTTGATGATAAATGATATCAGTACCTTTTGTTTAGCGTGCGCAT